TAGCAATGGTTTCTGGAAGTTGTGAAGGTTTGACAGGGAAAACTGCCCCTTCCCTCTCACACACATTGGGAGAGAAACAGATAAAAGCACACAACTTAGACTTGGTGTCTTTCTAAGTCAGTAGCCACTTCATTAGTTTAGCGACATAGAAATACGTTATTTTGCAAGTTAGTTGAATTTGTACCTGAAATCACCATTTTTTTTTTTTACTTAAAAAAATTATTTTCCTGGCCGGGTGCGGTGGCTCACGCCTGTAATCCTAGCACTCTGGGAGGCCGAGGCAGGCGGATCGTTTGAGCTCAGGAGTTCGAGACCAGCCTGAGCAAGAGTGAGACCCCGTCTCTACTAAAAATAGAAAGAAATTATCTGGACAACTAAAATTATATATAGAAAAAATTAGCCGGGCGTTGTGGCGCATTTCTGTAGTCCCAGCTACTCGGGAGGCTGAGACAGAAGGATCGCTTGAGCCCAGGAGTGTGAGGTTGCTGTGCTCACTCTAGCCAGGGCAACAGAGTGAGACTCTGTCTCCAAAAAAAAAAAAAAAAAAATTATTTTCCTTTTTACTTTTTTTGAAATTACTGTTTTTGATATATAATGTAATAATGTGCAGTGGCCCAGGGGAAAAACATAAACAATTCTTGGGAGAGAAAAACACTGGAATTCTCTCTTCCTAGTGTGGGAAGAGCACTGGGAGGTTCTGGGAAGGCCAAGGGAGCCCCATGCCTGCCCCGTCTCTGCACAGAGTCATCTCCTGGGAGCAGGATGGAGCTCGAGGGCACAGTAGGGAAGGGTGACTTGAAGGCCTTGGCTCAAGGAGAGCCGTGTGTGGACACCAGTCGCTTGTTCTAATTGGTTCTTATCCCATGGCAGGGCTTCTGAGGACCAGGACAGAACCTGGTGTCTGCTTCCAGGCCGGTGGGCTGGAGGCTAGTGGGCTTGTCAGCTGTGTGAAGGGTGTCTACTTAACCTCTTTTCTGAGAGGATTGTTTCAATGGCCTTTTCACAGTTGGCTTTGGGATCTAAATGTTTAAAATGGAGCTAAGCATTTGAAAGCTCCTGGGAATGACATGGGAGCACCTCTGAGCAGGCCCTGTTCAGGAGAGGATGGAAGGAGAACACCCTTATTGTTCAGAGACTGCTGGGGACAGAGGTCTCTGCCTTTGAGGCACTTGCAGTCTAGACAGAAGCAGCCTAGGACGGCTCTTGGCTCTTGGAAAGGAGCTGGGTGGCTGGAAAGGCCATGGTGCGGCCCCCACCAGAGCAGAGGGGCTGAGGGGAGGGAGCTGGGTGTCCCTTCATAAGCGTGTTGGAAGATCTGTGTCTTGCTAGCTCTGTGCTGTCTCAGAGATACTCATGGGCTGGTGTTGGCAACTGTTAGGAAAGGGGGTGCCCGAGGTGCAGTGTGAACACTTAACAGGAAACCCAGCCCAGCCAGGGTCAGGAGACAGCCTGCCAAGAAACAATTGTCTAGGCTGAGACCTGGATAGGAGACATTTGCCAAGTAAAAGCTGAGAACTTTTTTTCTTTAAAAGGCACATTTTCTTTACAATATACTAACATTCAAGGCCATAGTAATCCACTTTAGTACATAAAAAGCAGTAAATGATACAAAGTAAGGCACAGTTACGCTTTTCTACATGAAATACATATGGGTGATCAGTTCTCAGTCTCATTTGATATTTCAGCAGCATTTGAAAGTCTTCACTCTGATCCTGGCACTCCTGTCTTGATGTGGTACTGTGTATACACAGACTTCCCAAATGTGTGTCACCAGGCCAGAGCCCTCCCTTGAACTCCAGGTGGATGGGATGTTTGATTCTCAAACTTTTTGAAATATGTCTCAAAAATCAGTGCTCGACTTGCTGTCCAGACCCAAGGTTCCGCATCTCCGTAAGTGACCACTCATCCTGTCAGTTGCTCAGCCAAAGACCCAGCACCCTTGACTCCCCCCGCCTGCATCTCCCGTGAGGTAAATCCATTTCAGATCTGTCCAGATTCCACATACTCTGGCTGTGTCCACTGCTCCCACTGTGTTCCTCCCTGGCCTGCATCCCCGTCACAACCACAGGCTGATCTCCCTGCCGCGGGCTTGTCTTGACACACTGCTCCCCTCAGGCACTCCACTGGTTTCACGTTTCACTCGGAATGAAACCTAAAGACCTCATAGGGCCTGAAAGGCCCTGCTTCGTCCTGGGCCTGGCTCTCTCTCAGGCGTCTTTATTCATTCTCCCTTTGCTATTTTTTGCCCCAGCTGCTGGCCGCCTTGCTGCTCCTTAAATGTGCCGGCGCTGTCTCCTCTGTCTGGATGCCTTCCAGACACAATCTCCTGGCTTGCTGCTTCCTCTTCAGGGGCTTACAGAAGTGTCACTTCTCAGCGATGTGTTCTTCTTGACCACCCTGTCTGCAAGCGCGAGCGCGTGCACGCGTGTGTGTGCACTCACTGCATGCACACACCCCTCCTGGCATTCCCCATTCTCTGTGTTTATTTGTCCCCTCCATGCCCAAGGATAGGAAATATTGTCTGTTTTGTTTGATGCTCTGTGCCTCATCACCAAACAACAGTGACTACCATTCAGTAGGTCTCAGGTATTTATGATGAATGGGCTGACCTGCTTAGAATCAGCAGGGCTCACGTCTCTGCCAGTTATCTCATGGAGAGACAGTGATACCTGTTGGGGGGACTGAGCAGGTGGGCATCATGGCCATTGTGTAAATGCATTCTGGATCATTCAGATGGCAGCTTAATTTTATAAAGTTTAGCACCTATCTAAAGTAGTTTTTGGAGACTCACATATAAATCTGAATTCAAGAATATGTTAAATTTTAAGAAAAGTTTACTTTGTATGAGTTTGAGGGGCAAAGAATATTGTGTTGTAGAAATCTCCCCTCTTCTTTGCCTATTAGTTACTCTATTTTTCGCGTCCATTTTTTCTTAAGACTCTGTTTTTAAGGTGTAAGAGCTTGAGTTCCATGTGTGAACTGGCACACAAAAGATCACAGTGCAGATTAGGTCAGTTCTTTTTAAATTTTTAAAGTTTTTATTTTTAGAGACAGGGTCTTGCTTTGTTGTCCAGGCTGTAGTGCAATGGCGCGATCATAGCTCACTGCAGTCTCAAACTTCTGGGCTCAAGCAATCCTTCTGTCTCAGCCTCCTGAGTAGCTAGTACTACAGTTGTGCACCACAACATGGCTAATTTTTAAATTTTTTACAGAAATGGGGTCTTGCTATGTTGCCCAGGCTGGTCTCAAACTCCTGGCCTCAAGCAATCCTCCCACCTTGGCCTTCCAAAGTGCTGGGATTATAGGTGTGAGCCACCTCACCTGTCCCTTTTTCATTTCTTAAATAATGTTAATAAGTGTGTTTTGGGTACAGTTGAGAATATTTTCCACATTGAGGACAGAAACAAAGGATCTCTTTGATCTTTCTTTAACTGTATTTTCTAGACCGAGTAATGAAATGGTTTTCTGTTTTTGAGATAGTAAGAAGCTCAAGCTGGAGGCTTGTTGATGTGACCTTTAAAAAGAAAATTTCCTACCAAGGCTGTGGCAGTGTGTTGCCTTATAGTATGTAGAGCATAGCCAGACATTGGAGTCAGGGTGAAAGTCTGGCTCCATCGCTTACTGGTGGTGAGACCTGGATCTGCTTGGTGTATGGTCCTAGGCTCGGCTCCCTCTCCCAGCTGGCTCAGACTACCAGAGAGGCTTCTGGAGTCCTAGCATAGAGCACAGCATGCAGCAGGCCTCCACTTTTATTGTTTTTATGATGTGAAGGTTTTTTGTGGCATCTGTCTCTATTCTATCATCTGAGTTGAATGAAGTCTAAATTGTTGTGCTTTCCTTGAAATCTCTTAGAGTTTTGAGGTACTGAGGAGGGATAACCTGGAATGTTACTGGTCTTAACTAGCAGCTGCGTTGAATGCATATCCTTAACTGTGCAGTGTTCCTTTGGGTCCTGGAGGAAAGGCTGCTTCTAGGGCAGAGTGCCCTACCAGGGGAGAGTTCAGAATAAACCGCATCCTGGAGTTTACTACAGACGGAAAGCCCATGCCCCTGAGCCTTGTGAGCAGGTTTACCAGTGTGGTGTAATTTTTCTGGTGGTATCTATCATAGGAAAGTCAGAGTCGAGCTGTGGAAGGTTGAATGGCATTACCTCCTGCCCAAGTCAGCTCCTCAGGCTGAGTCCTGCCCCTCAGATGCTTCATGGGCCCAGTGTTATCTCTTGAGCCAGCACAGGAGACACTGACGTCTGTGGAAGAGTGGTTTTCCAGAAGGGATAGAGAATGTCCCCCACTTAATTGGGACTTGCCACTTAAAATGAATACTGTTAGTGATGGAAAGGTATTGAGAACCACTAACATCTATTATGGAATCCTAAAGCAGATTGGGAATTTGCCAACTCATTATGTGTTCAGCAAAGATTGCCAGATATAGTAGGAGATGGTGAGGAGTGGGGTGAATTGAGCCGTCTCCCTGGGGAAGACAGAAAGGGACAGGGTGCATGTGATAAGAATCATGGTAGAGGGAAGCTCAGGAGCCTGTGGAAGCCCAGAGCAGGAAAGAGCATGTAGCTGGGTCGAGGCGAGGAGACGCCTGTGGAGATGGCACCTGTGCTGAGTTGCGTAGCTGAGGTGAAAGCACCTACTGTGTGCTCACTTTGTGGTAGGCGCCAGACATGATGTTACTAAGACAGGATACCCACCCCACCATAGAGTAAGCACATAGCAGGTGTTCAATATTTGTTTCAAGCAGGAGCGATTGGTATCAGCAAAGCACAACTTGTAGGGTGTTTGAGATTCTGTGCAAAAGTTGGCAGTACTGTCTTCCATAAAATTGTAAAGTTGTCCTTCAGAATGAATGCCGGCCTGGTGTCCCCCGCACCCCACCCCAGCCACATACTGTATGAAAGTGACTAACTCAGTGTTTTTCATGGATTGAGACTAGAATTCGGAGTTATTTCCTTGTACCATCCAAAATCTGAAAAATTCCAACTTTCCCCCTAGGATCTTTACCTTATATAGTAAATCTCTGCCCCTGGATCTGGCCTGCCGTATCTGGGATGTGTTCTGTCGAGATGGGGAAGAGTTCCTGTTCCGCACGGCCCTGGGCATCCTGAAGCTGTTTGAGGACATCCTGACCAAGATGGACTTCATCCACATGGCCCAGTTCCTGACCAGGCTGCCTGAGGACTTGCCTGCAGAAGAACTGTTTGCTTCCATTGCCACAATTCAGATGCAGAGTCGGAACAAGAAGTGGGCTCAGGTAAATGGATCTTTTGGTTCTCCTATTTGCAGCACGATAGTATAATTTAGGAAGTGTGCTATCTGAAGGGCTCTAAGAATATGGCCATCTTTGAAGTAGTCCTTGGGCTGAAAATGAAGAGAGCTGGGTTTGAGGCTCTGCTGCAGGGTGTCTTGGGCAAGTCATTTCCTCTTTGGGCTGCTGTCAGGTGGAAGAGTGTGGATAATGAAAGCCTTCCCGCCTACCTGCAGTGGCACGGGAAGGGTGAGAAGTCTTAGTTTGCCATCGTAGTGCTTTCTGCATGTTAGAAGGCATTTTTGTGAATCAAACCACCACCACTGCTCCTTTTTTAAAAAAATAATGCCAGAGACAGAAAGCAAAGGGAGCTAACTCACGGAGCCCTCACGGGCTGTGTCTGTGGCAGGCTCTTGTGTACTTAGTGAAGGTTGGATTATCTCCATTTTCCTCAGTTCTGCTCCACACATCCCTCTTAGGTCATGTCCCCTGTGGGACTGGCCAGCATTGTCTGGTTCCAGGTCTTTATCACACTAAAAAGGAAAAAATCCAACCGTGGTTCTTACTCCTGCATATGCTCAGTGTCAGTACCTGGCCCTCTGGTTTGATCTCTGTGAAGGCTTATTCTCTTCCATATGTGCCAGACAATGCCTGTTCTTGGCTTAACTTTTTTACTGTTGGAAGATTTTAAATATATACTAAAACAGAGTAACATAGAATAATGAACCCTCATGGGCCTATCCTCCAGCGGCAATAACTGGAAGCACGGCCTATCTTGCTTCAGCTGTGTTCTAATTTGCCGCAGTATTTTAAAGTGAGCCCTAGGCAGCGTGTCATCTGTCAGTGTTATGTCTCTCTAAACCGTAAGGGATCTTTTAACTTAACTATATCACTCAAAAGTTACAAATTCCTTCCTATCATCAAATACCCAGTTTTCAAATTTCTGATGGTTTCAAATGTCATAAGTGGCTTTATAGTTTGTTTGAATCACGATCCAGATAATGTCCATGCATTCTTATTGAATGCTCTAAGTCTTTTGAAAATACATGTGTCACTCCCCCTTCTTACCTTTTATTCCCTCTCCCCCACTTTATTTGGTGCAGAAAACATGTCATTTGTCCTATAACATTCCCACTATATGGATTTTTCTGGTTGTATCCCTGTGGTGGTGTTTAACATGTTCCTCTGTATTTCCTGCAAATTGATAGTTTGATCTAAAGACTTTATCAGGTTTCAAATTTGTTTTTTATTTGGCAAGATTACTTCCTAAGTGATCAGTCTGTCTCTCTTTGATCTTATGTAGCAGCCTATTTATTTTTTTTTAACAGCTTTGTTGAGGTTTACATACCGTGGTGTATATACATACCATAAAATTCACCCTTTTAAAGTGTACAGTTCAGTGCCTGTTTGCTTATTAACCAGAGATAAGTTTTCCTGTCTCACCTGGGCCTTCCAACTGTCCTCCCAAGCCTGTCCTTTCCCTCCCTCCTGTCCCATTACAGGAGGCTCTGTCTGGTTGGTGGGCTCCCTCCCTACTGGGGTCTCTTGCGAAGAGACACAGCTACTGTAATATGACCTAGGGTAATACTATGAAATGTGCCCCTGGTTTTACTAGCTGAAGGGGAGGCACTATTTTGTGTCTAGGGTGCTATGAGTTACATTTCTGAATTATTAAATATGTTCAATTTATAAAAAAGAAATGAAGTACTGATACATGCTACAACATGGATGTGCTATGAGTTACATTTCTGAATTATTAAATATGTTCAATTTATAAAAAAGAAATGAAGTACTGATACATGCTACAACATGGATGTGCTATGAGTTACATTTCTGAATTATTAAATATGTTCAATTTATAAAAAAGAAATGAAGTACTGATACATGCTACAACATGGATGAACCTTGAAAACATCATGCTAAGTGAACTAAGCCAGACACAAAAGAGCACATATTGTATGATCCATTTATATGCAGATCCATAATGGGGAAATCTACAGAGACAGGAAGTAGATTAGTGGCTGCCTAGACTAGGAGTTGGAGGGTGGGATGGGAGGATAGGGGAGTGGTAGCTGAAAGGGTACAGAGGTGTTTTCTTGAGGTGAAAAAAATGTTATAAAATTGACTGTGGTGATGGTTGCAAATATCTGTGAAGATACTGAAAACCAGTGAATTTTGTACTTTAAATGGGGGAGTGATATGGTATTGTAAATTATATTAAAGCTGTTAAAAGTGGCTGGGCACAGTGGCTCACACTTGTAATCCCAGCACTTTGGGAGGCTAAGGTGGGAGGATCGCTTGAGGCCAGGAGTTTGAGACCAGCCTGGGCAACATAGCGAGACATCCTTTCTATAGAAAAATAAAATAATTAGCTGAGTGATCCCTTGAGCCCAGGAATTCGGGGTGACAGTGAGCTATGATCAAGCCACTGCACTCCAGCCTAGGTGACAGAATGAGACCCTGTCTTAAAAAAAAATGCACTCAGCTCGTGTGTGAGCAAGGCTGGCTATATAATTATCAGGGATCCAATGAGAAAAAAGAGCCTTTCTCTGGTTAATAAATACATGGATAATGCAAATGGAAATGTGGGGCCCCTTGTTTGAAAATTATTAAAAATGTTAAGACAGTGACAGAAGAGTGTCAGCTAAGCAAGGCCCCTCAGAGTGCAGGGTCATTTCCTACAGAGGTCACGTGTCTGTAAAGCTGGCCCTGTGTGTGAGGGTGTACTTTGGAATATTCCGATTCAGTGGCTTACAGTGGTTTTCTGAAGTAGCTACAGAAAGCCAGGGTCTTCCCTGACAGCCTTTATTCTACACATAAGACTGTTTCCACCTTGACTTTATAACTTACGCGGTCACTGGCCTGCTGGTCTTCCTTTCCATTTCCTTCACTGATTGTTTCCTTGGAGATATGGGCCCATTTAGTACCCTCTCATGCACACACTGCACACCCACACATGTACACACAGATCATCCCCGTGTATATGCACACACTGCACACCCACATATACACACAGATCACCCCCCATGTACGTGCACACACTGCACACCCCCACAAATCGCCCCCATGTATGTGCACACACTGCACACCCACATATACACACACAGATCACCCCCCACGTACATGCACACACTACACACCCCCCCACAGGTCACCCCCATGTATGTGCACACACTGCACACCCACATATACACACAGAGATCACCCCCCCATGTACATGCACACACTGCACACCCACACACAATCATCCCCATGTATGTGTACATAGTGCACACCCACATATACACACACAGATCACCCCCCATGTACATGCACACACTGCACACAATCACCCCCATGTATGTGCACATACTGCACATCCACTTATACACACACGGATCACCCCCCATGTACATGCACACACTGCACACCCACACACAATCATCCCCATGTATGTGCACATACTGCACACCCACACATACACACACAGATCACCCCCCATGTATATGCACACACTGCACACCCACATACACACAATCACCCCCATGTATGTGCACATACTGCACATCCACATATACACACACAGATCACCCCCCATGTACATGCACACACTGCACACCCACACACAATCATCCCCATGCACATGTACACATTGCACACCCACACGTACACTTACAGAGAGAAGGATTAAACCCAGATCTGCCATTTTGCTTCTTGCGTTTTGGGGGCTAGGTGAAAACTATTGCTTAAAACTAGAAGTTATTTGAATAGTAGGACATTTTCTAATTAATGGGATAGTGATAGGAGCTAGTATGTTGTGGGGGGGCATCAGTAACTTTTACACAGTTCCAGTTCTTATGGGAATTGTGGTCCATTCACGTGTCTCTTAAATACTGTGCTTAAGGTTAAGGCATTAGTGAGCTTTTTTAAAACAAGTAAATGTTTATGTTTTGTCTCATTTACTTAGAGGTGGAGGGGACTTTCATCTGTTATTCCTTTCGGCAACTTATTTGAAACCTGCATAAAACATTTCTGATTTACTCCTTGTAGTTTGTGATTCAAAGTGGCATAGTGCCTGGCTCCAGGCAGATAGCACTGTGCTACCAAATCTTCTTCTTCTTTTTTTTTTTTTTTTGAGATAGGGTCTTGCCCTGTTGTGTAGGCTGGAGTGCAGTGGTGTCATCATAGCTCACTGCAATCTCAAACTCCTGGGCTTGAGCAATCCTCCTGCTTCAGTCTCCTGAGTAGCTGGAACTACAGGTACATGGTCCCACGCCTGGGTAATTTTTGTATTTTCTGTAGAGATGGAATCTCGCTCTTGCTCAGGCTGGTCTTGAACTCCTGGCCTCAAGCAATCCTTAAGCCTCAGCCTCCCAAAGTGCTAGGATGGCAGGTGTGAGCCACTGTGCCTGACCTTTCCTTGGTTTTGAAATCAGACAGATCTGGGTTTGAATTCTTATGAACTGTTTGACTTTGAGCAAGACATTTCTGAGATTTCTGTTGTTCAGGTCCCTTTCAATGGGGCATTAACCTTCCTAAGACTGTTGAGTAGATAGATTAAGCAGGCACTGTGTCTGAAGCGCTGGTAGAGTGCTCTGCTTGGCATGGAGCGGGCATGCAAGAAATGGAGCCCATTACTGTCACTACTGTTGTTAAGCATTCCCGATGGAGTGGAATTTTTTTAAAAGTAAAGGTGTTGACCTGAGCTGTGAGAACACAGAGGAGGGAGCAGACTGAGAAATCTCGGGAAGGCAGATGGGAAGAGCTTTCAGAGGCGGCAGCTCCTGGGGAAGAAGGACAGGGCCTCCAAGCAGTGGGACCAGCCCAGGGCTTGTCAGTGTGCTGGCATGGAGGCCTGGACTTCCATGGTGGCCGGTGCTGGGGCTGGAGCCAGACTTCAGAAAGAGATAAGCCCTATAGCCCTTCTTCGACACGGCTCCATGACTGTTTGGAATGAGTATGGGACACTAGCCCATGGCCTGGTCAGGTGTGTATGTTGGAAAGGTCACTCTGGATGCAGGGGTGGAGGCAGCCCAGAGAGCAGAGAATTGGCAGAAGTGGGGAGCTGGAGAGCCCAGTTTGGAGGCTGCTGCTATTCCTCTGTACTGTTCCTGGCAGGAGCTCCGGGGTCAGTGTGTGTTGGAGACTAACCTCAGACGTCTTCCCTGTGATTCCTAGGTACTGACTGCTTTGCAGAAAGACAGCCGAGAAATGGAGAAAGGGAGCCCATCCCTCAGACACTGAGGCTGCAGATGTGACTCGCACTCAGCACTGAAGCAGCGCTCCAGCGGCACCTGTGTTGGTTCAGACTGACACCCTGGCAGCTGAGAAGAACGGGGCCTCTTTTCATGTTTGATTCGTAACACTGGAAACACTGGAGTTGGCCTTAAAACAAACAAACAAGCAGAAAAAACTTCTAAAGAATTAAACCAAGGCTTAGCCTTAAGAAGCTCAGTGGAACGAAGCCCTGGTGTTGGCCACGGCCAAGCACTGCGTTTTCTGCATGGTTTAAATATAGGGCAGTGGCTAACTTCCTCCCTTCCTTTATTTCAGCAAAAGTTGATTAAATTGTAATGCTTTTATGTCAACTACTGGAAAATACATTACAATCTTTCTTAGCCAAGATGCATGAGAAATGTTATTTGGGAGACCTCAGAGATGTTATTGGCTTATATTTACATGTTTTAGATATGAAAGGGATTGCTGATTGAGTTATTGAGATAATCTTTCCAGAGCTGGAGGTCATGTTCTTAAAACCCACCTACCAAAGATAGCATTAAAGGAAAACGGGCTCTCTGAGGATAGGCACTGAGTGCTCATGGGCTCCCTGGGAATCAGCCCAACCTGCGGTTTGGCATTTTACCATGTTGCCTTGACAAAATTACAGCATGAAGGCTGCAAATACACACTTAGGTTCCAGTGGGAACCTGCTCTCTGAAAGATCACTCCCTGCATCTGCTGAGCAAGGGCGGAGAGTTCAAGCAGGAAGAGTGATTTGCAAAGGCCTGTGGCAATAGAGACAGGTTTAAGAGTTGATGGAAAACAGCATGGAAATGGCCCCCTTTTAAGTAAAAGAGCGGGGAAAGAGAATGTTGAGACTTGCCCCTCTTCCACCCTACCTGTTTTTATGGAGGTCACAGTATAGCGGTGCAGCCTGTGGAAACAGTGTGGGGAGGTAGTTCCCTTGCTTTAACAGAATATTGTTCTTTGCCTTTGTCCCCTGGACAGCTGGATCAGTCCTAAGTGCCAGTGAGTCCCTCTTCGTGCATTTGGCTTTACAATATGTGCTTCCTAACCCGCTGTAGGGATGGAGGAGTGAGCAGCACACATCTAACAGCCCAGACAGTCTTGTCACAATGCTCATTAGCTGGACCATCAGCACTTCCCCATTTGAGCTGATATTCCCAAGGTCATTGGCAAGTTTTATGTTCTAGCTTTTCTTGACTAATTTTGAGAGCTTTGTATATGAACTTTGGATATCCAAATTCACAGAAATGAACAGTTTTTGCACAGAATAGCCTAAATGACAGTATCTGTGGAGGCAGGTTCCTACTTGGTAACCCATTGGTCTTTGGGAGTGCTCGGCAGACCAGGTTCACAGGCACGGTTAGCTGTGCATGAGGGCCTCGGTGTGGTCTGCACTCTATGGCCCTTCTCAGCCATACTTCCCACCCCCAGGGAGTACCCCCATGATTGATCTTGTTTCTGATTTTGAGGACTCTTTGGCTCTGTCAGTATAGCATGCAACAGGAGACTGGGCTGGGGGCCAGGGGAATAAAGCCTAACAGTGGCATTATTTTTCTAGGTTTTCTATGTCTGCCATAGCGCTAATGATCCTTCTAGGTGCAATAGCAAGTTGCCGAGCCAGTGGTCATTCCCATGCCTTCCATCCCAACTCTGTACCATGTGCCGTTTGTCCTGGAATCTACTTTCTTCCCCTTATGTTCTTAACTGAATCTCCAGGGAGATTGCAGAGCATCATGGATACCACTTTCTGCCTCAGCCTTTAAATGCTGACTTGCCTCCCCTCTTGGAGGAGGCGTTCTGTCTTCACTGGAGGTCTTGACAACCTCCAGACCTAGCCATTTTCTGACATCAAGATGCTGAATGTAACCCAGACTGAGCCCTGCACACTGTCGTTCCTCACAGATGTACTTATTTTTGTTCCATGATGTGGGCGTTCTGTTCTTTAAAGATGTATATATTTTCTTACTGTACATAAAGATGTTCCTTAAATCATACAGAAAGTGATGCAACAAGGGGCTTTGTGCAGCTTGTTCTGAATGCAGTTGTGAAACTTCGTGTGTATTCAAAACTCAGCTCTTAACATTTCTCGTCAAGCAGTTTGACATAAAGCTCTTTGGCTAGCACCATGTATGCATTAAGTCCTTAAACAGGATTCTGTGCCAATCTGGAACACTTACCATATCTGGAGTTCAGAAGAGGTTTTCATGACCTGTTCAGGGATCACATGAGGTCTTGCTAGATCAGTGCATCCTCTTCAGAGGCCAGAAAGTTCCAAGTCCCCATCCAGGGTCACTTAGTCCCTTTCCACAGAGGCTGCTGTGGGGTGTGGAGGAGTCTGTCTGTGTCATCGTTCAGATGAACCGGAAACAGATGCTGCCATGCTGCCCCTTGGGAAGTCTGCACATTCCACTTCATGTGCCCTTGGCTTTTGGAATCTGGGACTTCAGGTCCAGGACGTTTTGCAGCTTGTGTGCTAGAGTGAGCACTGCATCTCCCCCCAGTCACTGAGATCTTAGAAACGCTGTTCATTCACAAGGTACTTTTTAACTGTTCAGTTTTCAACTATTTTAAATAGTTTGCTGAAAACTTCTGATAACACTTGCTATATATCATGTTTTAATTGCTTGTACAGTTAACCTTTAATTTTATTTAGTGGAGTGTATCAAAGTAGGAGTTTTTTGAATTGTAAATATGTGGTTTTATTAAATAAAAGTCATGTAAAATTGTTAACTTATGTTTACTGTAGTTTGATTTAAAGTTGGAATTCTTACTTGGTAGCATGGCAAAAATTTGACTTTGAGCATTTTGCTGTTTGAATATTTGGAAATCCCCTTATTAGGCATGTTAAACAAAAAGGTGGTGCAGTTATGGTAGTTTAGTCCAGGGTTTCAAGAGTTGAGTGCACCCATTCCAGACTGGAGCGTAGCCCCAACCTTGCCACACCCCCTCTTCAGCCGGGCCCTGCCCCAGTGTCTGCCATGCCTACCACTCACACTCCTGAGCCTGCCACATCCGTCCTAGCGTGCAGTTGGTGCTTGCCCTATGCCAGTCACTGCGCCAAGGGCTTTTCACATTCCTTTAGGAACCTTCTCAGAAACCCGTGAACCAGGTACTGACGGCTCTGTCTCCCAGCAGTCAGCAGGGAGACATGGGCTCATCCCTGTGAGGTACAGGTCAGTAATGCTGCCTCACAAGGCTGGTATGGAGGGTGGAGGATTGTGAGGTCACTTAGATCCAGGCAGAGCGAGTGCTCATGGGTGTGGGTGGTGGTAGTCCCTGCTCACTCAGCCAGGAGGTTTGGACAGGAGAGCATGTCCAAGTCCCAACTGAAGGGTGCAGAGCCCTTGGGGTGGCTTTCTCTTTTGTCCCCTTGTCCACCAGGAGAATCTTTCCTTGTTCTCCAGGACTCTCACGTGAGCAGAGGCAGCTGTTCCTCTGTCTCCTCCAGGCCTCTGAGGACTGTGCCGGGGAGCTTTCCATTCTGCCGCAGTGGCTGGCTTCCCTGCCCTCTCGCCCACGAGACAGGTATTCTCACTCATGCCCTGGCCCCCACCAGGATGCTCAGAAACAGTACCTGCCTTCCCTCTTGGGGCCACTGTTACTTATTTCTTCTATTTTGCCACAGGCTGTAGGGTGAGAGGACAGGCTACAAGGGCTCAAGTATCCTGGGAAATAAGGCTTTGGCAGTTAGTCCTGGGAGACAGCCGTGGTGTGGTCCTGCCGAGGGAAGGAGTGTTCCAGAGCCAGTGGGCTGCAAGGATGGCAGGTGATGCTCACAGAAGAGCCCAGAGCAGGATATGTACTAGATAGTGGTCTGGGCCTCTAAGAGATATCTGGGCACTTTAAGTCATGGCCAAGTTCCTGGGTAGGCAGGCAAGGCCATGAATGACATCAGCATGTATTTGAGTACATGTTTGGCACCATGCAAAGCAGCCCCACTGATTTCCTTGGGAACCCCACAAGTTCCTCCACATCTTAACATGGTCCCATCTGAGGACTAGCCCGCAGCTCTGAGGCTTCCCTTTGCTGGCCAGGCCCTTCCCCTCATCCACCTGGTGACTAACAGCTCATCTCAAGGTCCACCTGGGTGTCTCCACACTGTGTTGGTGCAGCGTTCCATTAATGCTTTGTGCCTTCCTGGTAGAGTCCACGCCTCAGGTGGTTCTTGAACTGTCAACTTCACTTCCCCAATCTAGAATACTCCGGCAACCAGTCTCGACTCTTTCCATGTTTGCATATACAAGGCATCCTCACCATCTCTTGGGCAAACATTCCACAGATTCTGCCACCACTCCTTGTGCCTGTCCCATGGAGCCGCTGTCCGCTTAGCTCCAACTCCTCCTCAGGAGGTGTGGGTCCTGCACATAGGAGGTGCTCAGATAAAGAAGTGAATCCAGGCCTCACCCAGATCCTGCTCCTGGAGTTGCAGCCAGACCTAGAGGAGCTCCCAGGGGCCCCAGAGCAAACGTATCCTCTCAAGAGGGCATTTCTGAGCAAGGGCTGAGGGGGTCACCAGGCCTGAGTCTGAGCCCTAGCATTGCCACTAACTTGCTGCAGGAGCCTAAGCAAATCACTGCTCTGTGTCACATCTTTGAAATGGGGACAATAAGTGTCTCTTCCACGGAGCTGCTGTGGAGAGTAAATGAGATGATTGATGGACAGCACGCAGCCCAGCACCTGGCGTGGCTGAGCAGCAGGCCAGCCCATGTGGGGTTCTGTGTGGAGTGAGGGAATGGCCTTCTCCCTAAACATTAAAATGAGTCACTCATGGATTTGAAAGCATCACTGTGGTCTCCAGAGTCTCACAAAGTTTGTCTTAAACATCGTTCCTTCAGCTTCTTGCCCTTGCTCTGCAGCTCCTGGTAGAAACTGCCCCCATGAAAAATAAACCCAAGTTTAAGGTGCATTTTGGCTAGAGGTTAAGAACAGGGCCCTAGAGTTAAATCTTGTAGCCAACCATTGCCATTTAGGAGCTCTGAGACCTTTGAGAATTTTCTTGAATTCTCTAAACCTCATTTTCCTTCCCTATAACCAAAGGTTAAAAAGGGCACCCAGCACCTATCCACTGGCCTGTGAGGAGTAAACAAAACTAAGATGTTGAACTAATTGTATCATTTAAAAAACCCAGAAACATTGCTATAGGTTGCTAGACTCATGTCTTTGACATGTGAATGTTTAGTATCTCACATCACTGAACTTAGAAATTAAAAAAAAACACAAAGTAAATATTTCTCAATTTTACTATCCAGAGAAGATACACTGTTTTCATATTCTGATTTTTTCCTATAAACAAATTGTTCCCATTTTACAAATGAGCACACTGAGGCTTAGAAAGATGAAGTGGTTTGTCCCAGGTGGCGGTCAGAAGAGAGCTGAACACAGCTCCAGCTGATGCCAAAGTCTTAGCAGTAGGCTGTGTCTTCTCCCAGGTCATCTTTATTCACCATCCTTTGGGTGAAATGTTAGAAAACTTCATCAATTGAAAAATTGGGGTGTAATTTTATTCATTAACATATGTACACATTTGATCATTGATTTAAAGAAAAACTAGCTGATCCTGTCAAAGGAGTATGACATTGGAAGTGGGAGACATGTAGTTCGTGCGTGGCTGACATGGTCCCCGCAGTGCTCTCCATTCATAGCATTTGTGGGATTCTTCACTCTGGTATTAAGACTGCCTGAAAGTTTGAAACATGAAAAGCACTGAATTGGGGTGCGTTTACTCTGGTATTATTTTATGGACAGGTACCCCATACCAATGTCAAAAATGTAAATTAATGGCTGCCAACAAACTCATAAAAAAAGAAAGCATAATTTCCACTTACATAATTTTAAAATCTCAAATGTGGTAAGTCACCAAAAATGATTTTCATTTACCAACGAAAAGTTTCCTTTTCAGATGCCTTGGGCTCTGTCTAGGAGTTGCTTGATTTACTCCTGCTCTTGCTGCCAAGAAACAAAAACCCTCCTGTAACACTGACGGAGACATTTTCAATGCATACCAACTTTTCTTAAAAAAGGTCTAATTTCATGTAACATCTCATTCAAAATGTATTCAGTGTCAACATTTTCGAGGCCCTGTACTTTCCAACAAGGAGATGAAAAGGCAGCCTTTGCTTTTAGTGCTCACAAATCATCTTAGTCTTAGAGGTTTCCAGGTCAGCCGCTGGCATCTCTGGGGCTGATCCCTGCTGGATTTAACAGTGCTCTCCACCCGTGGTGTTCTCTGAATTTGACTACAAGCCCTCCTTCCTACCATTTCCCCTAATTGGTTCGACTTCTTGAGAGATCCTCTTTCTGCCTATAATTATTTTTGAATCCAACATAGGACTTAGTGCCTGACACATAAGAGGCATTCAAGTAACTGATTTTCAGAAAATAAACGAGATTGGCACTATATTAATCCAACAAATTTACTGAGTACCATTTATGTGCCAGGCACTGTGCTGGCTACTAGGGAGGATTACGAACCAACAGTCTTTGCCATCCAGGGACTTTGTCTCATTGGGGTACAGATAACTAATGCAGATGATGGTCCCTCAACAGTCGATCAAAGTCTGGATGGGGCTGAACACAGGTTTCTGTGGGGGCACAAATTGGAGTGCTTCAATAAGACTTTGGGGATAGATAATGCTTTAGGGTCTGTGGAGTTCTTCCTCCAAAGTAATGTATCTTAAGAAACAATCTGTGAATGTGTTGCTATTTCATGATTTAGTGCTCTCCTGTAATTAGAACCATGGTAGGAGATCATCAACAGAAGCTTGGCTTCTAATTAATCATAACATCTCCAGTGTAAGGTACTATAATTTGCGAGAATATTGGTAACTTACCATAAAATCATTTACTTAGGACAGATTTGCTCTGAGAGTTCTGCTTGTTACTGGGTTCAAGGCTGGTGAGGAATGTTTGGTTGGATGTAGGTAATTGCTGATGGGTAAAAATCAGCTGAAAATACCTGTTCTCCCCACAGTGAACCACAGAGATTTAAGGATGCCATTGTAACGAGAGCCGCTTGCTGGTCAAGACTCTGAGCATCACTGCCAAGTTCACTTTGAAGCCTCCCCAGCCACAGAAGAACCCAGTGGGCCTGTTCTGCTTTTAGTTTTCGATACAAAGAAAACTTTGCCAGTGATTTTTACTGCTTCACTTGATGCAGGGTGGAGGAAAGACTAAAACTGTAGAGAGTAAGGAAGAGAATGGAAGCCATAAGTCAAAGCTTTTTCTTTTACTCCTCTCTTTATTACATTTGTGTGGTTTGATATAAAAAAGTGTATTCAAGCCATGGAAGTTAGAAAAGGAATTTTATTCAACCTTCTTTGGCTTCAAAGGGAACATACTTTCGAAAACAAAATCATGTCATCAAAAGATTCTCACAGCCAACGGAGTCACCTGCCCACCTGCCCAGAGTGCGGTTTTTACCATTCTTTAGAGGTATCTAGTGCCAAAAAATATATCATCTTTCTAATGATCCACTTAAGTTTAGGAGTGGGAGAATACTTTGAATCCCAAATCTGCACATCTCAAAATTCAACCTAAGAAATGAAACCAAGCCCCTAGCTCCAAGGTAATCACTGATATTGCATTAAGGAAATAGACTTATCAATTATTTTTTTACAGTAACACAATAATAGCATTTTAATATTTGATGCAAAGTGAACTCTTATGCATAATAGGGGTCCTGTTGTTGAGATCCAAAAATATCCAGCTAAAACAGAAGGCTATGTCCTCTAGGCTGCCAGCAGCCACCATTCCATAGATTTTGCACCTGGCAAAACAGTACAATTGTCATCTTGTTTTCACTGGAAAGCAAAATTTCATTTTTGGGGGTACAAATCAATGCATTTCTCCAGAAGATCCAAGAAAACATTTAATAGGAATTGAAGACTGTCACTGAGGCAGAAACAAATATTAATGGTCAGTAGCCTGAGCTTCCTTTCATTGAAAGGAAAGATGAAGGAACATTAGTTCCTTTTCCTATCATTTTTCCTGTTTCCTGGATGTTATTTATTATCCCAGAAGCCAGTGCTAGTTACATATAAAACAATTTCAGCTTAAGATTAATTTAAGAGAATTAGTGTGCTTCTAATTGAGACAGTAATTCAGGACTACACAGTTTAATAAATCCAAAGAGAGTTTAATAATTATCTTAATGGACAAGAATATTTTTGTACCCTGCCCAAATGTACCTCTCCTCCTCCCCACCCTCCTTGAACTTTTAAACCCTCCTAACATATGGAAAAGGAACGTACTCCTTAGTTCTGTCGTTGAAATTATGGAATTGCTCAGGTATAAAAAGACTTTCCACAGCTTTTCATGAGAAGTCAGTTACGTGAAATCAACCCTGTTTTGTTTCTCTGGACCTATTTTGCTTAATCCCATATAAAACTAACTGCTGACCCAATTTTGTGCTCAGCACTAATTTGGAAGCTGAAAAATTATGAGATAAATATAAAATATATTTCCATTCCAAATATCACAGGCCTAATAAAGAATAGCACAAAATGGAAAATAAAAGTTAAAGAAGGACATATACGCCGAGAGTGAAATGTTTTGCTGACTCTTCTCATCAATTGTATCAAGAGGGGAGAAAGGCTTTGGCTTCCCTGATCTTCTGCCTCAGGCCTCTGCAGGACAAAGTGAGCCCAGCGTGATGGCGCTTCAGGGATTCCAGGCGCTGCTTGAGCAGTTCCGTCTTTTCCACCTTTTCTTCCAAGTCCTGAAGGAGTGATTCCTTGCCCAGAAGCCCACACTTCTGATCCAGCTTGACGTTGTCAACCCGCAGGCTGTCTCGGGCTTGCTTCGTCTTGGTCAAGATGTCTCTTCCTAGGGCTACCTGAGTCTCAATTTCCAAAAGCTGTTCCTTTTTGCGTGCATTCTCCATATCCATAAAGTGCAGCTTCTCCTTCACATGGGTTATTATTTGCACATTGTTGGTCACTTTGTTGCGCAGTTTTAAAAGTTCCTCATTTCGTTCCTCAACTTTCTCATTTAAGGTCTGGTTCTCAATCTTCAGCTGTTCACAATCAATGAGGAGCAGACCCTCTGTCAAGTCCTCCTGGGCCCTCATCCTGGTTTCAAAGTGCACCAGGCTCTGCTTCAGTTGCACGTTCTCCAGCCGTACAGCGCTCATCTCCTTCACCTTTTTATCCTCCAACGCCTGGATTGCCTCCACTTCCCGCAGAGCGGCCTGGCGCCCGCCCCGCATGCGACAGCTGCCCATGGCCTGCATCACCACCCGCTTCTTGACTGCCTGGAAGCCTCGCCACTCCTTCTCCGCCCTGGCGAGCTTCTCCTGGCCCTGCTTCTTCAGCTGGGCCAGCTCCTGGTGGTACCACTGTAGGTCGTCTGCCTGTTGCTTCTTCAGCTCCTCCAGCATGGCCAGATAGCGTAGGTACACCTGCTCCTTCTCGGGGGCCTCGGCTTCCGCGCCCTTGTCAGGCACCTCGGCAGCTTCCAGGCCCTTCTTCTTGCGCAGCGCCTCGCAGATCTTGTGCTGCAGGCACACGTTGTAGCGCTGGCAGCGGTTCCGCTCCACCAGCAGGGAGCGGTACTGCTCCAGGAGCTCGCTGCGCAGCTGTTGTTCCTGCAGCTTCTGGACCTCCTCGGACCACTCGTAGTCCTCATCGTCTCCGTACAGGTACGTCCCCTCCTTCTCACTTTTCACCGGGCGGCCTTCTCCACCCTTCCCCTCTCTTTCCTCACTCTCTTTCTGCTCCTCTTCCTCCGCCTCCCGTCTCTCTTCCTCGGCCTCCTCCCGGGCTGGCGCAGCCTCTTCCTCGCTGGTCGTGGTCGGCAGCGGGGAGGCTTGGGAACCGGCTTCCTTCTTCCCGCCCGCCGCCGCCGCCGCCGCCTCCTCCTCCTCCCCCTCCTCTTCCTCCTCCGCCTCCTCCTCCTTCTTCGGTTCCTCCGGAACGGCTTCGGATCCCGGCTTGGCTGGTTCCTCAGCCGCAGCCTCGGGCTCCGCCGGCCACCCCGGCTCTCCAGGCCCCTCCTCGCCTGCAGCCTCGGTGGCCGCCGGCCCTGCCGGGGTCTCGGCCTGCTCGTCCGCGGCGGCGCCTCCCCGCGAAGCCTCTACCTCCTCCTCCGCCTCTGCTGCCGCTTCGGGCTCCGGCTCCGGCTCCGGCTCCGGCTCCACGGGTTCGGCGGGAGCCTGGAGGCCGGATTTGGTCTTGATCTCGGATGACCGCGAGGCCAGGCTTTCCACATCTTCGCCTTCCCCCTCCGGGTCCCTAGTGCGCTCTGTGGGGCTGTCCATTTCCCACCTCCAGGGTAGCTGACCCCCGCTGCAGGCTGTTAGGTTTCCCGGGGCAACCAAGGGCGCACGCGGTGGGCCCGCCGATTGGTCAGGCCTTAGGCCGATGCCCTGCCCACTAATTCCCGCCCCCTAGCCATAGAAGACCAATGGGAGGCCGCTAGCGGGCGACGAGCGGGATTGATTGGAAGCGAGTGAGGGCTCTCGCCGCGAGAGGCGTGGCGCGCCAGCCAGACTTCCTGCCCGCCCAATTCCCACCGCCAGGCCTGGGGCGGGGCGTCCAGATGCTCTGGGAAAGGCCGAGGTGGCCGGCTCGGGGGCGCGCAGGCGCAGAGTGGCGGGCCGGGAGTCCGCGCGGTGGCGCGCGCGGGCGCCTGCGCGATGCGGCGGGGCGACGGCGGCTGCGGCGGCCGGGCCGTGCCGGATGGCGCCTGCGTGCTGAGGCGGGACGCGGCCCGGCTGGCTGGCTCCGGCGGCGCCTGGGCGGGGGCCGCGGTGGCGGCGGCCGCGGCGGCGGGCGGCGGTTGCTCGTGCGCGGCGGTGGTGGGCCCTGCGGGCGGTGGGGCGCTGACGGCCGGGGGAGCGGCGGCGGCGGGCCGGGCGGCGGGCGGCGAGCGGGGGAAGATGGCGGAGCTCGGTAAGAAGTACTGCGTGTACTGCCTGGCCGAGGTGAGCCCGCTGCGCTTCCGTTGCACCGAGTGCCAGGACATCGAGCTGTGCCCCGAGTGCTTCTCGGCCGGCGCCGAGATCGGCCACCACCGCCGCTACCACGGCTACCAGCTGGTGGACGGCGGGCGCTTCACACTCTGGGGGCCCGAGGCCGAGGGCGGCTGGACCAGCCGCGAGGAGCAGCTGCTGCTGGACGCCATCGAGCAGTTCGGCTTCGGAAACTGGGTGAGCGGCGGCGCTGACGGGAGCCGGGTCCGGGAGACCGCCCGTGCCCTGGGACGCGGAGGAAAGCTCCGTCCCCTTCGCTTAATAAAGTACATAAGCAGCACTTGACTTGCTCGTTCGATCCACGCTCCAGAAGGCCCCAGAGGCAGGGCCTTCCCAATTTATAGTCGGAACCCACACTCAGAGAGGTTCAGTGATGTGAGCAAAGCGGGGGTTTGAACTGTGCCATCTGACAGCAGAGCTCTTTCCCTAACCTTGAGGAACACCTTCCATAGGTGTGTCCTGAGTACAGAGTTTGGCAGGACCCGGTGTCTCACCTGAGTTCGTGGAGACAGGCCAACAGACTTCCCCGAAAGGTGTGGGAGCACCGAGGAAAGAGTCGGTTTTGCCCGGAGCACAGTGGTGGTGAAGGCCAGCCAGCCTCACGGGCACCCTGCGGCTTGGCTTACGGTTTCTGGGGCACTCATTTTGTTCTGGGGACCTATTTGCTTTCTGTGGTTGTCTGCATGTGCCCTGTGTGGTCCGCCAGTGCACACACGTTTTTTGTGGGTAGCCGCCGTGCCTCGTTTATCCTTGGGTCCCCACAACACCCAGGACATTGTATGGTGAGTGGTCAGTAGATAATGAACAAAGGAGCCCGGTCTAGGAGGCACTGGTCCTGGGTCTTGCTCCCTTCATCCTTCAGAAGGTTTCTGTAGATGTGTCTGTCTGTGAGAGGGAAGGGTGAGAGCTGGACTGGATTCACTGCGGTAGCAAGAGAGTGTGCTAGGCGCTGTCTTTGACAGAGAAACTTGGTTGTTATTCTCTAGGTGGTCTCTTAGGAGCTTTCTTCAATTCTGGAAGAGGAAGTTTTCATCTCTATGAGAAAGGAAAAATCTTGTATTTTTCCTTGTATCCCCACTCGTAACCACCAAGGATATGTAGCCATCTTTGGGCATTCTTTATTTTTTAAAATTTTATTATTTTTTTTAGAGACGGAGTCTCACTCTGTCACTCAGGCTGTAGTGCAGTGGTGTGATCATAGCTTACTGCAGCCTGTAACTGAGCTTGAACTTGAATGATCCTTCTGCCTCAGTCTCCTGAGTAGCTGGGTCTACAGGTGTGTGCCACCATGCCTGGCTAATTTTTTAAATTTTTTTGTAGAAATGGGTCTCAATGTGTTGCCCAGGCTGGTCTTGAACTCCTGGCCTCAAGTGATTCTGCCCCCTCAGCTTTGAAAGGTGCTGGGATTACAGGTGTGAGCCACCGCACCTGGCCCGTCTTCGGGCATTCTAGGAAGTAGGGAAGTGAGGCACAACCCCGGTGCCCTCACCTCGCCCGCCTCTCCCTTCTTCTCTGAACCAGCGCTCCATCCTGCTGCCAGCTCCTGCAGTACCTCCTCTCCTTTTTCCCAAACCTGTGCTGCTTTTGTTTTCTTTCCTAAAGTGAGCCAGTCTTTAGGGACCATTCCGCATCCCCATTCTGAAGCCCTGGAATCTTAATTCTCCCACCCCCTTAGAGAAGATGCTGCTTTGCAGATCCTTCCCTAATTGCCACCCACATTGTGATCACCCTCCAAAAACTCCATTCTACTCTGTCCTGCGATGTCGTTTATTGACACACATTGGGCATCTGTTCTGTGCAGATTCTATGATGGTGAAAGGACTTTGAAGGAAAGAGTAGTTTTCATCCTTGCCCTCAGGGAGCTTAAAGTGCTGTGTTCACTTGGTCCTGGGCTCAGAGCTCTTCCCTAAGCTCCAGCCTTCCATGTCAGACCCCCTCCCCACATCCTAACCTGATCTCCTGGCTCTGTGTGACCCAGACCTCGTACCACCTCACTCAGGACTCGGGCTGCAGACAGAGAGCCAGCCTTGGTTCCTTCTTTCACATCTAGTTCATCAAAATATATCCTCTCTTCAAAATATATCCGGAACTAACCACTTCTTGTGACCTTAGTCCAGGCTGATACTTACATCTTGTCTTGACCATGCCCAGAGCCTCCTGACTGGTCTCCCTGCTTCATTCTTACCCCACCGTCCATTTCACACGCCGTCATCAGAGTCATCTTTGAAAGCGTAAGTCTCATCACATTGGCCTTCAATGGCTTCCAGGCCTCCTTGGTTAAACGTTGCAGCCTATGGACCTTACCCTGTGTTGATCAATGAGGTCTCGTCTGTTACCTCCCATGACCATTTTTTATTTCTTCTGCTTGGAGAGCCCTCCACCCAAATCATGGTTCAGGCCTGATCTGCTTAGATATCAGTGCCTCAGAGAGCCCTTCCCTTCCCCACATCAGCACTTATCTCTGCTGTAGCAGTGACCAGGAGCTGATGTGGTCAGGAGCATTGCAGAGTGCCAGTCACTGCGCTGAGCTCTTCGTGCGTATCTCGTGAGATCTCCCCTATGGCCCAAGGCAGTGGCTTTGGATGGAATAGTTTGACTCAAACCCTGCACTCCTAACTGTACTGTCTACTCTGTTCCCCCACTACAGCACTGGGGAAATACACAAAACACAAGACCCAGGGAACTAAAACACAGTGTATTAGAAGAAACATCAGGCTGGAAGTGAGGAGGCCTCTTTTCTAAAATAATACTTTTCAAACTTTAGTGTGCACACAGATTGCCTGGGGAGCTTGTGAAAATGCAGATTCTGACCCAAAGCAGCCAACATGTCTCTTAGCTGTTAGAAGGCAACGCCAGCAGAGGAGGGGCACTGGGCTTGGGTGCCGTGAGCAGGGGGCCAGGCCTGGCTGCTGTCAGGGCCTTCTCCCTGCTGAACTTGAGCAGGATTCAGGGCAAGGCCTGAGCTTCTGCACTGCTAGCCAGGCCTCAAGGGACGCTCCTGTTGCTGGCCTGCAGACCACGTGATTGGTGAGGCTCTGTTATTTCTTTGGCTGTGTTGTTTCTGGCTAGTTGCTTTACTCCTCTGGACTTCATTTTTCTCCGGCTCTGAGATGTGTGGTCGTCTTCTGAGTGTGTAGCTAGATATGTGCGCAGACCTAGTTTGTCCCACTTATGAGGCAGTTAGCCTGTGCCAGTTTGGGGCTAGGTTATTCCATATATATCTCATGGGTCTTCTCACCAGCCCGTGGAGTTCTTAGTTTACAATTGAAGAACAGCAACTCTAAGAATCCAAGCGACTTGTCCAGAATTCTGTGGCTTTTCACGTGACAGAGCCAGGGTTGAACGCAAGCCCGTCTGATTCCAAAGACTGGGCCTCAACCCCTCTGTGTAAGAGCATTAAGTGATATGGGTCAGAGGCTGGGAGCTTATTGGTGTCTGGAAGTGTGGAGAGGCTGGCAGGGCCTGCCCTGATTCTGTGGAGATTAGTGTGGGGGAGGTCTGTGGGGTAAGGGTGGGCCCAGGTTTCATGGGCTGGAGTGTTGAGTGTGGACAAGGCAGAGTGGGAGTTGGGGACAGTGACGCAAAGGAAGATGAGACCTGTTTGATTCTGACTTCAGAGGGCAAATGATGACCTGGGGGTTGTACTATACATGTGGAATTCATGGTGGGAGCAGGCCAAGGGGCAGAGGGTCATTGCTGAAGTCTGGCAGCATTGTGATCGCACTCCGCATCAGCGCCAAGGTGTGGGGCCCGAAGGTTGTAGCTGAGGAGTGTTAACATTGAGGCCGAGGAGGCTTTGGGGACCAGCACACTGCCAGTGTCTGACGCAGTGTGCTTACGTGTTTGTTTGGTAGCAAGTGGCAGAGAGGACAGGTGAAGGGACCTTGGCTATGAAGGGGAAGAGTTGGCCAGCAGACAGTGACCCGGAGTCAGATCAGCAGGGGTGTCTCTCGGCCAATTTGTGGTGGGTTCTGTGTGGGATTCGAGATTAGAAGATAGAGACCCTGCCGGAACGCACGGACACAAACATAAACACAAAAGTAAAATATTTTAAGACAGTTTGAAACTGCTTCAAGAGCCATAGATTTGTTGATCAGTTACCAAAGAATCAGACTGTCCCTGAGGAGACAGGATGAGGGAGACCAGAGCTCCTCTGCAGGTGGCCGTCAGGGGACTTTAAGGGACGCGAGGCTCAGGCTGGCTCTTGAGGTTTTGAATTGAGCAAGTGTGTGAAGTTCTCTCTCCGCCGCGGGGGCCTGTGCTTAGGCTGCCTACTGGGGGCAGGTGGGATGTCGTGAATAGAGCTGTGCCTTTTCAGATGATAGTAGGTACTCAGAAGGCTGGGAAATACCAGATACGTTGATGATCACTGCGTGCGTGCATGCGTGCATTCATTCTCTCACTCAGCCAGCACTGACTCAGGGCCTCTGCTGAGAACAGGCTGGGAGTAAGACGGCGGCGTCACCTGGCGGGTGCTGTGTGGGCAAGTGAGACTTGGGACGTCCTGTGGAGGGAAGGGCAGGAGACGCTGCGCAGGTAGAAAGAGTGGAGGAAGGAGAGGTCTTGCATTCTAGGAATCTGGTATGTTCCGGAGCCTGGAGCCAGCTTTCCTGGAGTGGAGGACTGGAGTTGGGGACACCCCAGTGCGGTCGTCAAGGAAACTCATGTGGAGTCACATTTCTAAAGCCTTGAGCACCAGGCATGAGGGCATAACTGGGGTTTGGAAGCTGGCTCAGACTCTGCGATGGCTGGGCACCTGCTTGCTGGGTGCCAGGCCCCGAGTGGGCACTTCGACATATACTCTCTCGCTGTCCTCTGCCCACAACGCTGACAGAGGCTTCCCCTTGTTACAAGTGAGGAGACAACCGTGGGTGATGCAGGAACAGGGCCAGGTCTTCTGGCTCCATGCCTAGAACCGTCTGTGTGAGTGGTTCACCTGGGGACACCCGGGGACCACCCTGGGCCTGACTGCATCTCAGGGTGCGCTCTGGGAATCTGATGTGTACCAAGAATCGCAGGGAGTGAGGTGTGTTTGGAAACCAGAAGTGTTACCGCCCTTCCCACCAGGGTAGAGGCTGTCATGTGTGTCGGTTGGAACGGGGAGCCCCAGCCTTGAACATCCCGGCAGGGTTTTAGGACTTGCTGTTAATGACGGGCAGGATGAGGGGAGCCTGGGTGGGAAAGCAGCCGGATCTCAGATGGCAGCGCAGCATTGGGACACCTGCATCAGGACACTGGGCAGGGCTCCCGGCGGGGCTGGATCAGCTCAAGTCGCTCGGTGACATTCCGAGTCAGCAGGTGGGGCAGGGCCTGAGAATTCACATTTCTAGCAATTTCCCAGGTAATGCTGATGCTGCTGGCCCAGGGACCCTGCTTTAAGGACTACTGAAATAGTCCATGTGTAAGACATGTCACTTTAAAGTTTCTGAAGTTATTTTAAAAAATTTATTCATTTTTACTGTGGTAAAACATACATAACGTAAAATTTACCATTTTAACCTTTTTTTTTTTTTTTTTTGAGACAGAGTCTCGCTGTGTTGCCCGGGCTAGAGTGCCGTGGCATCAGTCTAGCTCACAGCAGCCTCAAACTCCTGGGCTCAAGCAATCCTCCTGCCTCAGCCTCCCAAGTAGCTGGGACTACAGGCATGCGCCACCATGCTCGGCTAATCTTTTCTATATATTTTTAGTTGTCCGATTAATTTCTTTCTATTTTTAGTAGAGACGGGGTCTCGCTCTTGCTCAGGCTGGTTTCGAACTCCTGAGCTCAAACAATCCGCCCGCCTCGGCCTCCCAGAGTGCTAGGAGTGCTAGGATTACAGGCGTGAGCCACCGCGCCTGGCCTATTTTAACCTTTTTTAAGTGTACAGTTTGGGGGGCATTGCTTATTTATATTCACGTTGTGTGGCCGTCGTCACCATCTATCTCTAGAACTTTCTCATCTTCCCAAACTGGAGCTCTGTCCCCATTAAACACTAACTCCCCAGCCCCTGGCACCCACCATTCCACTCCTATCTCTATGAATTCGACAACTCTAGGGACCTCTCATAAGTGGAATCCTGTAGGATTTGCCCTTTTTTGGCTTTAGTCACCTTGCGTGCTGATGACAACTCTGCAAGCTGGTGGGGTCTCTGAGTGAGACAGGAGGATGGGGACCCAGAGCCAAGGCTTACGGGGCTTCCCAGGTGAAAAGGCTGGGAGCAGTGGCCAAGGAAAATGGTTTTTCTGGAAAGTCCAACACACTGGAAGGACGGGCTGCAAAGCCAGAGCCGAGTCCCTGCCCGCCAGCATCAGCGGCATGTGTGAGTGAGGCTGAGTGTTGGGGTGTTGGAGCAGCTGCCTGAAGTTCCAGGCTGTGGGTGGGGAGGAAAGGGCCAGGAAAAGGGAGAGGGGTTGGGGAGAGGGGACAGGGTAGCCCAGTGACCTGAGTGGTCTCTCCATTTTAAAGGTGACAGAATGAGTCTGGAAGAGGGAAGAGCTGTGTCCAGGGTGCCGCCGTGTCACAATAGCTGAGCTAGCGTGCCAGCCACAGAGGGCTGTTGGCATCCAAGCCAACTTTTGCTTGGCAGCTGTGTCCTGCCATCAGCTGTAGGTGGCCCTGGCCAGCCAGTGTCTGCAGTGGCACTGGAGTGACTCAGTTGTGGGAGGTGATGGCAGGACCCAGTGCGAGGCCGGGGCAGCCTTGTCAGGCCCAGCGATTGGTGTGGGACCCCATATTTAGCTAGCGGGAGAAGCTGTGCAAGGAGCTCCTGGAGGGGATAGCGGCCTGGGTGGTGGGGCCCTCCGCGGTCTGCACGAGCTCCTATGGAGTGGCTGGTAGGCGACACGTCCGGAGACACGGAGCCAGGGGGAGCTGCGATCCTGAGCGCGGACCTGACTTATGGGGAGGGGACGATGGAGCCTAGGAGCCATCCGCTACCTCGCTCTATTCCTTGTGGCCCTGCAGTGCCACTGCTGTGCCCAGCTGTGCCTTAGGGGCTGTGCTGGCAGGGCGCCTTCCCTCACACTGGGCCCTGGGAGCTGGGCCTTCTGCTCCTGTCCCTTCGAGGCTCCTTCACTTGAAGGTGAAGGAGCTGGGGCTGGGCCCCCAGAGCCAGCCCAAACTGCCCGGGGAACAACCTAGCTGCGTGTGCCTAGTCCTTGGCTGACCTGCTGCTGGGTAAGGAGGGGCAGCAGGGAGCGGCTAGAGGCCTGGGATCTGGCAGCCTTTGCCCGGGGCTGGCTGCTCGGAGAGCCTGCATTTTACCCCGTGTCCCAGAGGGCAGGCGGCCTGAGCCAGGCGCTCCCCAGCGTGCTTGGTGCAGAAAGAGCTGAGGCCCAGCGGTCCATGTACTCTGCCTTTTATCACAGCACAGGAAGCGTGTGGTTGTGGAGACGTGGCGGTGTGCGCTCATTGTGAGGGACCGCTGCGGGCACGAGATGACGGCGCGTGCTCCAGGCCAGACTGCCTGGGATCCACAGGGCTCGGTGCTCACTGGCCTGTGCCCTCGGCGGCTGCCCACCCTGAGGTTTAGTCTCCTTATCTGTAAAATGTGGGTAGTAATAACCCTGCTCCCAGGTGGGAAGTGTCTTGAGGACTTGGTGAGATGAGGAATGTTGACGCACTTGCCCGTTACTGTTTTTACTTTAATTTTATCCCAACGAAACCTGTAAGAGGAGGGATTGAAGATCAGGAAGCAGCAGAAGCTGCAACAAGGGGGAGTGGTCTGGCCAGAGTGTGAACTTGCCCTGGGGCTTATTGAAGGCAACGTAGTCTTGAGGGATAAACACAGGGTGTGGGAGGGAAGCTAACAGTGTGAGCACCTGGAACAGCTAACACAATGGGGCGCAAACCATGCGGGCTCTGGGCCCCCAGCTGCCCACCCAGACGCTGTGCACATGGAGAGAAGGCACTTTGGCAGGACACAGCTCGCAGCCGGGACAGGCCACCGAGGAGTGGGCCGAACTGACCAGGCAGTGATTCCCAGACTTGCCAAGTTCAAGACCAGTCAAACTCAAACAAGTATTTTGGAGGCCGACAGTGTTCCTGACTTTAAAATTTGCCAAGTAAAGTTATTAAAAGAAAAATGTCTGCAAGTAAGAAGACTCGCAGGCCTCTCCCTGTGAGTCTCACTGGCCTGAGAGACCAGGGCCAAGGCCAGGGGCCCAGTTACTCACCTTGTCACCTTAGATAAGCAGCCTAACACCTCTGGGCCTCCAGGTAACAGCCAGCCTCACTCAGGAACCTAGCGCAGTGCCCATCTCTTGGAAGCACCTGGAAACTGGAACCTGAATCCACAGTGTATGCGGCAGCACACAGGCAGGAGTGGCCGTGCTGCTGGCCGCCCACCTGGGGCAGTGACAGCACAGACCAGAGGGGCCGGGCTGCACATTTCTTCTCGACAGGAAGCCTCTCCTGTCGAGCATGAAACCTTAGAAAAGGGCAGCTATCAGGGACTTTTTCTGTTAGGTAGAAGTGGCTCTACAATCTCTGTCTCAGACGCCAGTGTAGATCTTGGGCCTTTCTGGCCCCAAGGTGGGGTAGGGGAGAGAATGAGCCCCAGCAGCCTCAGCCCGGCTGCTCCATCAGAGGGCACTGGTGCCACCTGCGCAGAGCCCACTGCAGCGTCAGAAGCTTTTTCTCACCCAGGGAGGCGCGGGGCTGCCCTTGTCTCCTTCACTCTCCTGTGGGGGTGAGGATCAGCGACGGGCCTGGGTCACACAGATGGTGGTAGATGCTGGGGGAATTGTGATTTGGCGTGGTGTTGTGTTTCGTTTTGGACCAAATCCTTTCTGGAAAAGTAAAATGAACAGATTTGATGCTAACGGTGATGTTTTTAAAAGAAAATCATCCCATAAGACCAGAGTGTAATTTTAGCACTAATCTTTGCTCTTCTCCTTATGATTGTCAAAGAGACCCCACAGTTAGGTGTCATCCTTGAGTCACACCCACAGCACTCCCAGGACTGGTGGGAAAGGTCCCAGCACTGTGGCTCCAGGCGTGTGTGTCAGAGGAAGCCCAAATTGTGGGTTCTGTTCCTGGTGCCCAGAATGTTTCTCTCCGCCCCAACGACCGGCTCCTAGTCAGTCGTCAGCCTGGATGGACTGGCTGGTCCCCTGGCTCCTAGCTGGGCCTTTGGCACTGCAGAGAGCAGGCTGGTCTTGCTGGCCGGACTTCTAGCGGCACTGGTTCCACACCCTGGCGGGCAGAGGGGTGCTCAGGGGCTGGGCGGCAGAGAGGTGGTGGCGGGGGGATGAGTGCGCACTTTGGGCAGTTACTTTCTGAAGTGGCTTTAGCGGTTGACTTTGAGGAAGAGGCCTCTTGGCAGAAGGAAAAGGTTGAGGGAGTTGTACAGTTTCCTCTCACTAACAAACCTCGTATTTATGGGTTACCCTCTGGGAGGAGTGATGAACGCTTTCGGCCTGTGGCAGATTCTCGGTGAGCTGCTTAGCTGTGGAAGGCATTAGAATTGAAGGCCTTCTCCCTTGAAAAGCCACGCACCGACCATCTGCAGGCACTGCCTAAGAGAGGGACAAGCTAGCCCTGGAGCGTGGAGGCTGGGATGGATGCACGGCCAGGACAAGTGTCCAAGACATGCCCTGGCCCTTTCTATTTTGGGAGGCAGGTGGTACAGTAGGATGGGGTCTCCTCCTGTAAGTAAGGCTGGAGTTGTGGACTCAGCCTTGCTGTGCACCCCTGGACACGTGCATTTTCTAGTCTGTGAATGAGGAGGGTTCGGGCATTCCCTGCCCATGCCTGCCTGTGTCCTGTGACTCTCAGACAGCCCCGAGAGTGTGGGGTTTGTGGTGGGCGGCATGGCAGTCCAGGTGAGCTCTGCTGGTCACATTGAAGGAACGGGATCTCAGATGGGGGTTCTGGCCTCAGGTCTGCCACCAGCTTACCCCACAACCGTAGGCAGGTTCGCACCTCTCTGGAGCTTCACTTTCTCAGGTACAGAATCAGGGCAGGTTCCTTCCAACGTCGCGTCGCCATCTCTGCTCCGAACCCAGCTCAAGAGAGAGTGGATAACTGAATGTGTCTTGGGAGGGAGGATAACGGTGTTGATAGAAGTGTGCCAAGTAAACCTTTGTGAAAGTATTCATGCAATTTGTGCGAAACTTAAGTATGGCACTCTGACTTTGGAAATAACTTCTGACCTTTGTCATTACAGGAAGATATGGCTGCTCACGTGGGTGCTTCCCGGACGCCCCAAGAAGTGATGGAACATTACGTGAGCATGTACATCCACGGCAACCTGGGCAAAGCCTGCATCCCTGACACCATCCCCAACAGGGTGACAGACCACACCTGTCCCAGCGGAGGCCCCCTCTCGCCCAGCCTCACCACCCCATTGCCTCCCCTGGACATCTCGGTGGCGGAGCAGCAGCAGCTGGGCTACATGCCGCTGCGGGACGACTACGAGATTGAGTATGACCAGGACGCCGAGACGCTCATCAGCGGGCTTTCGGTGAACTACGACGACGACGACGTGGAGATCGAGCTCAAGCGCGCCCACGTGGACATGTACGTGCGGAAGCTGAAGGAGCGCCAGCGGCGGAAGAACATCGCCCGCGACTATAACCTGGTGCCCGCCTTTCTGGGGAAGGACAAGAAGGAGAAGGAGAAGACGCTGAAGCGCAAGATCACGAAGGAGGAGAAGGAGCTGCGCCTGAAGCTGAGGCCGCTCTACCAGTTCATGTCGTGTCAGGAGTTCGACGACCTGTTTGAAAACATGCACAAAGAAAAGATGCTCCGGGCCAAAATCCGAGAACTGCAGCGCTACCGGCGGAACGGGATCACCAAGATGGAGGAGTCGGCGGAGTACGAGGCGGCGCGGCACAAGCGCGAGAAGAGGAAGGAGAACAAAACCCTGGCGGGCTCCAAGCGCGGCAAGGAGGACAGCAAGGACGGCGAGTTCGCCGCCATCGAGAACCTGCCGGGATTCGAGCTGCTGTCCGACCGCGAGAAGGTGCTGTGCAGCTCTCTAAACTTGAGCCCGGCGCGCTACGTGACTGTGAAGACTATTATCATTAAAGACCACCTCCAGAAACGACAAGGAATCCCCTCCAAAAGTCGCCTTCCTAGTTACCTGGACAAAGTCCTAAAGAAAAGAATTTTGAATTTCCTCACGGAGAGTGGCTGGATCTCCAGGGACACGTCCTGAGGCTGCAGGGACCCTGGAGCCAGCGTGACCTGGGTGCTTGCCGCTGTTGCTCTGTCTGAGACAAATCGAGTTCCTTTTTTAAGATACAAGTTCTTTTCATGGTCCTCTGAAAGCAGCAATAGTAACAATCTTATATTGGATCATGGGGGAAAGAAATATAAGTCTATTTTAACTTAATCCTAAAAGTAATACTTTAAGATGATTTGCCTTTACCTGTTCGGTTTGGAGAGTATTATGAGATTAGATAATTTCCTTTTAGTTTGTGAGCTTTCTTCCCTTTGGGTACAAAACTGTTGTGCTATGGGTAACAGGAGCATGGTTTTCCCGCTGGACTGCAAGCAAAAGCGCTTTCCCGGTGACACAGCTCTTCTCAGCGGGGCTGCGGGAGGCTCCCCTTCTCAGCCCACGCGCCCCGGCTGAGCCCAGCTGAGCCCGGCACGACCGGGCACGAGGCACTTTACAGGGAGGCAGGTCGGGCACAGATCCACTGTGTAGCAGATGAAGAGAGGCCAGAGAACAGGATGACGTTTCCATAGAATTTAACGAGGAAGAATCTGTGCTTGAACATAATGACCAGATCACCTTCCACTTAACTGTTGGCGGCAGCAGTTTGAGCCTGCGGTCCCCAGATCCCCAAACTGAGCGTTGCCTTGTTCGGATCTGGGCAGAGCCTGCTGGTTCCCTTGGGAAGAGCAGTGCCCCCCAGGGCAGGCTCCCTTAGTGTGGCCATGTCCCTGTGAGGGTAAAATCAAGCTAGCGGGAGGGACAGGGCTGATGTGGACTTCCAGAACCTGTAGACCAGCTTCCCGGGGCTGAGTGTTGCTGTTGGTATGTGCAGTGCATTTTACCTGGAAGAACCGGTTTTAAAAAGTTTAAGGCTAAGAGTTCTGAGTTCTGCCGTTAAATTCCTCAGGATTTTCATCACGGTTGCAAGTACCCTTTTCGCTGAAATCATGAGCACACTCGCCTGGCAAAGCATCTTCAGTGTCGCCAGGCCAGGGCAGTTCTGACCAGTGTGTCCTGGGCCATGCCTCAGCCTGCGCACTGCTTCTCTCTTCACTGTCCTGAATCAGACTCAGAAATGGCTTCTTCCCAGCCCTATAAGTTTCTTTCTGGGGCCTTCCTTCAAGGATGTACATGGTACCTTCCTCCTGAAATTTGAGGAAGTCTGTTGTCTTCCAGCTGCTCAGGCTGCTCAGGGTTCTCCCGCCTAAGTCCCTGCTTTAAGGAGAGTCTGGAGTGACAGTCCCAGCACTCCGTTCTTTCAGGAGCTTGTCTTGCCTCTCCTGCCCCCATAGGTACCGAAAGACTATTTACCTCCCACAATGTTTGGGTGTGAAGTTACATTAAAGTGAAGTTATTCGAAAGAAAAAAACCTCATCATTAAGGACAACTTAATTACTGTGCCTTTTCCTTTCTTTTTACATCATTCTGTCCCCTAGGGTAAATTTTTCAGCATTAAATAAAACATTTCAAATATACTGTATATGGCTTTAGTTGTAAAGTACATTGCATGCTGGCAGAAGCGCTCCCTATTAGCTAAGTCCAGAACTCTTCTTTTGACAGTGAAAGTACTGAGCAGTGGTATTACTCATGAGGGCCACCTCCACATTGTCCCCTGCAGGACAAATACGACTGACAGAAAGCTGACCTTGTCTACCACTGAATGTAATGGAGATGGTGCTAAGTTTTTATAGTTGTCTTGGCCAGTGGTTCTCAAAATGGGATTCCTGGCCCAGCAGCATCAGCGTCCCCAGGAACTTGTTAGAAGTGCAGACACTCAGGCCCTCCCCGTCTCCGGAATCAGTAGTTCTGGGGGTGGGGCCCAGAGCTATGTGAGAAGCCTTCCAGGTGATGCAGGCTCACGCTTGAGAACCACTGGCTTCAGCTATTCTGGTGTCTCATTCATTGGTTTAACACCAGAATCCTAGTTTGATGAGGTTTTAAGTTTAGTCTTATTTTTATATAAAACAATTGCCAGACTTACATTGAGAAGCAGAAAATCCCTGTAAATGTGTATGGCCCAGGCCAAGAGCTGTCAAATGAAAAACTTTGTGCTGAAGCAGGTTTTTAGTATGTATCTTTTTGATGGTATGAAGAATTTATTTAGGCTTGACTGTTTTAAAACACCATAATGAATGTATAATTAATTTATGTTAAAGTATTAACACTTTGTTACAAGGGAAAGGTGATTTTATGATGGGCTGCCTCTTAGCCTGTCAATTCCAGCTGTCACTGTCACAATAGTGCTTACCTCTGCTGGTAGCTCAGAGCCTCTGCATTTTTATATTTAATTCTCATGATAAATTCACCACCATAATCCCACGGAATTAGGTCTTTTTAAAATTTAAGCAAACTCTTTGAGTCAAAAAAATTGGGTAATTTTCTCCAGCCATTTGAAATAATGCTTTCTGGATGGCCAACATTCCAAGAATGTATTAAAAACTGAAACTCTGACTACCATTTTTATTATCCTTTTACATATTAAACAAGTTGAGAACAAAGTGGTGTCACTGCTTGCTTCTTGCCACTTGTTCCTTGAGCCTGTTTTTCAGAGCACACAGATCCGGGTGAGCCAGCGCGCACAACAGGTGGACTGTCACCTGACATGGTCCAGTCTGGCGCTTCTGTATCAAACCAGTTTTCCCAACAAAAAAAAAGTTGCTTTCTGTTAGGCAGAACCCCTTTCTTGCCAGCCCCCCTCCCTGAAAGTAGCAGTACATCCCAAGTAAGACAAGTCTTCCGTGGAGCCAGGCTGATGTTCAGATGTCTCTGAAGGTCTGTTACGGACTTTTCGTTCTGGTTTTGACCGTCCACACGTACGACTTACCCATGTGGCAATTAGGCTAAATCCAGTAACTTTACTAGAATGTAGCTGAACAAATCTTTAACTTCCAGTGTAAATATGTACATAATTAAAAGATGTTTTCCTATGACAGGTTTAGTATCCCTAATCCAAAGATCTGAAGTGCTCCAAAATCTGAATTTTTTTTTTTTTTTTTGAGACAGAGTCTCACTGTGTTGCCTGGGCTAGAGTGCCATGGCGTCATCTTAGCTCACAGCAACCTCAAACTCCTGGG